AATCTGATGCTACTAACATTCATACCTATGATCACAAGAGAACTACAAGGAATTCTAGTGGAATTCACTTGAAACAAACCAAATATGCTTCAGAATTGTTAGCCAATACTAAGATGCTGGATGCTAATGCTTGCCTCACCCCAATGGCATTGATACCAAGTTGTTCTCTACTGACAGTGCTCTCTTTGAAAATCCTACCCTTTATAGAAGCACCATAGGTGCTCTTCAATACCTTACTCTACCAAACCTGATCTCAGCTTCCTTGTAACAAGTTGAGCGGTTTTTGTCAGTTCCTACAGAATTACAATGGCAAGCTTGTAAGAGAATCCTTAGATATTTAAGGCATATTGAATTAGGTTTACACTTCAAACCAGCAGGAGCTTTACAAGTGGATTGCTATGTTCATGCTGATTGGGAAAGTAATCGAAGACATGAGATCTACAAATGGATACTGTGTGTATTTTCAGTGAAGCAAAAGTTGCAGCATTGTCATCTACTAGCTAAATAGAGCCTTAGCTCAATCTGGTCTTGAAGTGGCTTGGTTAGAAAGTGTATTAGCGAATTAGATAACCTTTGTCTACCACCTTGTCATTGGGTGTGATAATGTCGTGCAGGAGCTTTAGCAACCAATCCTATTTTCCATGATAGAACTAAGCACATAGAAATTGATGCACACTATCAGGTAGCAAGTGTTAGCTAAACAAGTCACAATCTAGTTTGTTTCTTCCAAGCTTCAAATAGCTGGTATCTTAACTAAACCTTTGTCAGCTGCTCATTTTGCTGAATTGAGACAAAAAAATACTGTTGTTAGTTAAGAGGAAGTGTAGTATTGTAGAGTTATAATAAAGGTTTATGCAGTTGAGTTACTGAGTTTGTGGTGAAGGTTGTAATATGGAGGAAGTAACGTAGTTAAGTTGTTAATTTTTGGCTGGTAAAGCTGGTTGTTGGATTTGCCAGTGAATTGGTGTTGAGTAATGATAAGTTTTTTATATTGATGAGTTTGTACTGTTGTAGTGCAGGGTTGAATCTGGCTGATGAAACTGAGTGGTGATGCATTTGGTCTGTTGCAATGCAGTGTTGATTTTGGCTGATAAAACTGAGTTTATGTTCTGTTTCAATTCAGTGATGTAGGCTGTAATATGAGTGGTACTGAAGTGTGGTGTTCAAATTCAGTGAATTGGTGCTGAGTAGTGATGAATTTGTTCTTTTTTAGTCTAGTGATTTGGTGCTATCTGGAGCTGGTGACTTATTCAGTAGTATTGTGCGGTTGAAGTCTGCTATATTAGACTTTAAGGTTAAATTTGATTTGGAGTTCCGAAGTGGTTTGTCTGGTACAGTTGAAATGTTTTTGACACGGCATGGTTATGATTCAAGATGATTTGAAGTTTAAGAAATATGTTGTGGCCTGATTACAGTTGAAGTTGTTTTGTGCTTAGATGTGATCTTTGCTTAAATTGGTCAAGTCGAAGTTACAACTGATGAATCTGGTCTGGTTTCAGGGGGAATGTTGGTCAGTTGTTCAGAATGCACACTCAAGAATCCTATGTGGTTTGATTTGAGGGAGAATGTTGACCATGTTGACTAGTGAAGACAAAGGGACTAAAGTGAAGTCTTGCAAAATGCAAGGGTTGGTCTTGTAAATCATCAAAGACGGTGACGTTTAGAGAAGTTAGTTTGTTTACATAAACTCACTGTACCTACTTTGCCAAATTCAGTTAATGAAAAACAGTAGCCTTACAACATTGCGTTTTCTTGATTTCTCCGAGTGTTCAAGTTCATTTTTGCTTCCTCTGTTCTTGTTCATCTGTCACATTGACATATATATGTTAATAGTTGTATTGAATTCAATGAATGATTAAAAAGTTAAATGATAAATATGCTTCTTAATTGCTTTTGACTTCTCAATGACCTTAATTGGTTATATTACAAGAGTAATACTACACATACAACATTTCTTATATAACATTATGTGTTAAGATGTGATTAGTTGATTTTAAATTAAAAACAAACTTTTATCTAATCATCTTTTACCACATAATTTTGTATGAGAAATGGTGTATGTGTAGTATTATGCCAATAATAAACATTTTCTTCTTGTTTTAATTTAATTTATCTTATAGTATGTAGATAATGTCTTTACCCTCTTTCAAAGAATTTTTATCTTAAAATATGATGTGCTTTTGAAGTCTTATTTATTTGGATTAATTGTCTCAAAAGTAATGTAAAATAGCAATAAAGCGTATTGTATCTCAACCAAACTCTGGATGGTTAAGTGGTTTGATCAGGATTCTTTGGTATATTATTCAAGTGGTGCTGGTTTGAATTCCTCATCAGTTGCTAATAAGGGTGGTTATTGGAGCTTTTACTTTGTTGGTAGTTTCAGGGTTCTAAGAAATTAGTTGGTAGTACGTAAACTGATCTAAACACCTCATTCATAAAATATATATATATATATATAAAGCATAGTGTATCTAATTATCTGAAGGGAATTGCATAGTAGATCTGAAAATGGTTTGTGAAAATACAATAATTTACTAAAGAATTCAACAATGCGGGTTAAGCATGTGAAATTTAATAAACATAATTTATAATTGGGTTTGTCTTTAAACCTAACCTTTAGTAAGTTGACGCAGTCACGTAGCTATTATTTCTCTTTTATAATCACTTTCCACACGGAGCAAGTGAATGTCAGACAAGATTTGATTAAGAACATCAAGCCAAATCTCATTGATACTTATCCTTTAGGTTTATCAGTAAACTACTTTGAGCATCTCAATTTCCTGCATAATATAAAACTCTCTAAATTAACACGTTTTGATTAAGATGTTGCACCAAATATATAGAGCCACCAAGGCTTCTAGATTTGAAAATAATTAACCAAGTCAGATTAAGGTAAGTGAGACTAATAAAATACTCCCCTACTTGGGGAAAAAGACAAGCACATGACAAAATTATTAAATTAAATTAACGTAAATCAAACTATGATTAGATAAATAAATCATGTCATGTCTTATAAGTTATAATGACGTCATGTGTGAGTTGTTTTATGCCCCGGTCGAAGAAGTCTTATGGGGCGTAAAAAAAAAAAGAAAAAAAAAGTCAATTGGAATGGGCGTACCCTATTTAAAAAAAAAAAAAAACCATGAATGGTAAATAAAAAAAAGAAAAAAAAAGTAAGACTACTCCATTTCGACAAAGGACCCACACCCAAGTTCTATAGCTTTGGGTTCGTTATCCCGATCATGATTTTCTTACTTGCAGAGGGAAGGGTCCTTCCCCTTTTGGTCGATTGTGGGTGAGGAGGGATTTGAACCCTGACACCATGGTTTTATATTCAAAGTTTGAGTACTTTGAATTCTCTCTCTAGTTTTAATATCCAAAAATATTTACACTGATATACCTAATTTCAAAGCTAAGAAACCATGGAAAAGAACAAATATCTTTCCTATTTCAAATTTTACACTTGGTTTTACCTAAAAATATTATACCAGGAAACTATTTGGATTAAAGTGTCATATATATATATATATATATATATCTAAATTCAGATAATTAATCAATGAAACTGATTTTCTCATTCTCTTAATTGTTCTTTATATATACCAAAAAGTTTTGACTACATTTAATTGTATAAAGAGAAGTAAAATATTGTGTCTTTTTGTGGTTGATATTCTTCACATATTGTTACTATTCTTTATTTTATTTTTTACTCTTTCGATTTTTAACATGATATCAGAGCAAGTTCTGATTTTTAACATAGTATCAAAACTTATATTCATAAGGGACCTACGGGAGAAGGGGTCTATGGAAGATGAAGCGAAAATTGCAAGGTGATGGTTTACAAGAATGTCGGCGATAGGATCGACAAGCGAAAGTCATCGAGCCACTCCAACAAAATGATTGGAGGGTGGAAGAAAAATTAAGCATGTAACGTGCTTGGTTGTGTGAAGCTTATGTACTTGAAGAAAAGGGGTAGTCAGCTTGACGGAGAGGTTGAAAAAGTCATCTTCGACTGGATATAGAAACCTATAGTTTGATGGGACTCTAAAGAAGTTCAGAGAAAGCATGCCGAAGAACATGCTTTGAACAACTATAAGTTGTGAGAAACAAGAAGTAAGGAAGAGTAAGAGAATGAAGAATAAGCTTTGAAGTTCAATACCAAAAAGGTTCAAAGATGAGTGTTGGAATATGAACACTTTTGGTAATTGATGAAGAAAAGGTAAGCAAGAAGAAAAAAAAATTTAAGTTTTAGACAAATTTCTATTTTAGAAATTTGCAATTGAAAATATTTGTTTTCCCTTACTTTGAGTTGTATTAGGAAAGAAAAATTAGTTTAAAATTTTATTTAATGTTAAAATAGGAGAATGAATTAAATTAGAGGAATCCTATTAAGATTAGAAATATGAATCTTAATAGAAAAAAATGTCATATTCTACCTATAAATAAAAGGATTAGAACTAATTCAAGATGACGAGAAAAGTCACAAGAGAGAAGGGAGAATAATGTGAAAAACACAAATGCTAGAGCCTACAACACCACTTACCCTTCTATTTAGGCGGACACTTGTTCCTACAGTATTTAATACCCTCTCACACATTCTCCCTTCTCTTGGTGTTTAAAGAGTCATGATCATAACTCTAATTAAGAATGTAAATTTAGTATTGGCATTTTGAGCATGATAAATATTTACATTTTGTTAGCATATACAATTAATTAAGAATCTAACCCCTAAGGATTAACTGACACGTGATGTCTAAATAAATTAATCAAACATCAATTACTATTAGGTGGATTCTTTTTCATTGTTTGAATGCGTTCCTAGCCGTGTGAAAGAAAGAGACGAAACACATTAATTTCCAATCATACATTAACAGATTCTTCCAATTTTAAACTATATAAATTACGCATGAAAACCATGCCTTTAATTTATATTCACATTGTTCTAGCTCTCATGCTAATTATAAAAGCCATATTCGCCCTAACTCCACCCCTCACTCAAAACCAAACTTCATTTTTCCCATATTTGTTTTTTCTTCGTCGTTAATCATCAGCCATGTCTTCCAATCCAAATCAACACATCGACGAGCGTCAATGGATCATTAACATCCGACGAACTCTTGAGGAAGAGCTCGAACTTAGCGACATAGAAATTCCCGTGTGCATATTCAGCGTGCCCAAACCCTTGAGGTCTAGCGATCCCGATTCTTACACTCCACAAGAAGTAGCAATTGGTCCTTACCATTATTGGCGTCCGGAGCTGTATGAGATGGAAAGGTACAAGCTTGCAGCAGCTAAAAGAACTCAAAGAAATCTTCATGGCGATATTAAGTTTCAGTATGTTGTTGAACAATTGTCTGAACTTGAGCCGACAATTCGAGCTTGCTATCATAAGTTCTTAGATGTTAGTAGCGAAACTTTAACTTGGATGATGGCTATTGATGCATCATTCTTGCTTGAGTTCCTTCAGATCTATGCCATCAAAGAAGGAAAGGCGAGCAGAAGGGTTTCCTCAAGATCCATGTTGCATATTCTTGATTATGCAGGGTCAAAAGCCGCTCATAATGCTATTTTAAGAGATATGGTGATGCTTGAGAATCAAATTCCATTATTTGCGTTGAGGAAGATGCTTGAAGTTCAATATTCATCGTCAGAATCAGCTGATGAGATGTTGGAGGCTATGTTAATTGGGTTCTACGAAGAACTTTCGCCTTTCAAGATGATGCAGGACACGCCGAAGATCCGCGTTTCAGAATCTGCGCACTTGCTAGACTACTTATACGACACAATTGTGCCGAAAGTACAACTACAGTCGCAGTTGACCGGGAGTACTGATCAGGATAATGGTGGAGCCGCACAAAAGGACGGATTTTCAGGTGACTCAACGTTCTTAAAAAAGCTCATGAATGAGATTTGGAAGCTACTCTCAAAGTTAAACAAGAGGCCGATACGTCTAATCCAAAAAATTTTACTATCCAAACCAATGAAATTGATTCTTAAATTGCCTTGGAAGCTACTGTCTAAGCTTCCTGGGCTCTCAATCTTGGCACAACCTCTTCAAGTTTTAATGTCAGGAGGCGGCGAGGAGAAAGATCCTGACGGTGAGAGTGACAGTAACAAGCCACCATTAGTGGAGGAAATCACAATTCCTTCTGTCACTGAGCTCTTGAAATCCCAGGTTCGTTTTGTGGCAGCTAAAGGTAACATTTCAACCATCAGTTTCGACAGTAAGAAGGCTATATTTCGCCTGCCCATCATTAGTTTAGACGTAAACACAGAGGTGATATTGAGAAACTTGGTGGCTTATGAAGCATCGAATGCATCAGGACCATTAGCTTTTTCACGCTACACTGAGTTGATGAATGGGATTATTGATTCCGAGGAGGATGTGAAAATTCTTAGGGAGAGAGGGATAATTTTTAACAGGTTGAAGAGCGATGCAGAGGTTGCTAATATGTGGAATGGGATGAATAAATCAATTAGACTGACGAAAGTGCCGCAGATTGATAAGGTGATTGAAGATGTTAACAAGTATTACAACAGCCGATGGAAGGTTAAGTTGGGGAAATATATGAGGCTATATGTGTTTGGTTCTTGGCAATTTCTTACCTTGCTTGCTACCATTTTGCTCTTGCTCTTGGTGATGTTACAAGCTTTTTGCTCCGTCTATAACTGTCGTAAATTTAATCTTGCCTCAACCTTCGAGTGATTGTATTTGGTTTCTGAATTTTCTCGTGGCTTGCATATCTTCGGTACGAATCAGCAGTACCCTCTCCTAATTTGAGCCCTGAATTTTTAAAAATCTCATAATATTTGTCTATTTGTCTAATATATTCTTATTTTGTGAGATACTGTTGTAAAATTATCTCCACAAGATTATTTGATAAAGGAAAAGCTTGGTTTGTATGCTTTCTTCTTTCCGGAGAAATGAGTTTTGTGCATTGTGATTCCCGGAATTGTATTTGGTTATCTCTTAATGGATATTGTAATATAAGGTTGCTTGTGAATAAATATCTCATTATATTATTTTGCACTCTTTGCTTTGATGCATAAAATGTTACTTCTTTTGACAAAATATGCTCAATGATGCGACAGATAATAAGTTTAAATAATCTATGACTTAGTAATAAATGGCAAAAGAACAAAGAGCAGGGGCCCATATAAATTTACGCCTTAGAAAGTTTGACGATTTGACAGAACACTATGAACAAAGAATGGTGAAAAGCAATTAGCGTTGCTTGTGAAGATAAGATTACATCTTTTGAGAATGCTGGATTCCAAATCTTATCGATTGATCTTCAATCTTATGTGAAGCTAATTAATTAAATTAATTAGTGTAGCATGAACATGTTTGCTGTTTGTTTTCACTTTTTATCGTAAATGACGTTAATGATACCAACACACACACACATNTGAGGGACGATGTCATTCCAAAGTGGAACAACTTAACAGGAGATTATTTTCTAGAAAACTTGAATGGAATGGGCGTTCCATCTACGTGGACGGTCATTCCATCTGAAAAATCAACATTTTGGTTTTGGTTATGACTTGTTTCATACCTTTGTACATTGTTAGTCCATTAATCATTCTTTTGGTTAGTTTTGACATATCAAAACACATGAGGGCTCAACATAGTCCCCCATTCCATCAACCACTTATAAATGGAATCAACAATCTGGATACCACTACGAGGAGGAGGTATATGAATAAAGCTAAGAAAACGTTTCCTAAACCTCCAATTACTATCTATAAAGTGCCCAGTCAGAACCATGTACTCAATCTTTTGATTACTTAAATTCCATAAATTTGTTGTCAAGCTTATTTTACTAACATTGCTCAACAAAGTCTTCAACTTCTTCTTCTCTATCTCATACACCCTCACACAATCGTTTTTAACAGTATGGTGCTATATCTTTTTTCATTCTGGCATCCCACTTTTTTCGCATATTGTTAAAACCCTCCTCCTCCACAATTGTAAGTGGATACTCATCCATCAGCACCCAATGCACAACTAGTTCCCTCATCTTTGTTATATCAAACTTGCCATGAGTAAGAGTAGGCATCACACTTCCCTATCCGTTAACACCTGAATCTACACGCTGAAAAATAATCTGCTATTGCCTATGGAGAATTATTCGCCTCACATAGTTTTTCAAAGGCCTTGCAAAATGAGTAGTACTCTTGGTTGAAGTAATTTGCATCTTGGACTTACAATGGATGCACTCTGCCTTTTTTGTACTGTTAGGTAGAACTAGCTTTCTAAAGTCGTTCCAAATTGCAAATGTCTTAGCTCTTTTTCTCCTCTAAAAAGGATTATCATCTTCAGTAGGCGGGCTACTGGTAGTAGTAGCAGTTGCACTTCCACCTGTATTAGCTACATCCTCGTTGAAGTTTTGAGGTTTAGTAGGTGAAACTGTATCATCCAATGTGGGTTGACTTGTCGATGCGTCCTCCATTCCTATAATGGACATGACATGTTCAATTACAAACAAAAAATATTTAATGTAAGGTTGAAAGAGATGCCATATACTAAAGAACTGAAAAAAACTTTTGTCACAGTTGCAGGCGCTGTAGTTGTGGGCAGGCTGGTGTCCCCCGCTACAATCGTGTGCACGTTGCAATTGCATACGCACTAGTTGGAGATTTTTCCCAAACAGGTGGTGGGAAGTTGGATATAGCCTTTTTCCAAAGATAAAAAACCTTTTTCCAGCAACCAATCCTTACTTTAAGAACAAATAACAATCATATAACAAATAAACAACCAATATACAACAAATATAGTAATATGCAACAAATATACAACATATAGAATTCGAGAATCTGGAGAAGAAGAAAGAGGTGTGTGGAAAATTGAAGTACCTATGTCGTCAACATCGTCGAAGTTGTTAGGTCGATGAATTTGGTAGAGAATCTCAGGTAGATAGGGTCTATCTGTCGACTGTTGCGATTTGGGAATTGAATTTGATTTAGGTTTAGGGTTTCAATTGATAAAATTTGGATTTTAGTTTTTTCATTTGGGAAATGAAAAATTACTAAACCCCCCTAAAAGTTTCAAAACTTTTATATATACTCGTTCGGGCTCCCGTGGGTTCGCGAGCCACTCGAGCCGAGTTAAGGGTTGCTCAAACTCGACTCGAATAGGAACTCGAGCCACTCGGTTCAAGTCAGATCCCTACTCTCCCCTCTTTTTCTTCCTCTTTACTCACCACCGACAACGCCTTAACATTCTACCCTGAGGCCAAATCAAGTGTTTAATAGCTATGTAGAGGTTGAATCTGGCTTCCATTACACCTAGAGAGCTGAATCTGGAAACTTTCGATACCAAGAGGCCAAATTTGACTTAATAAGGCTTGTGGCAGGATATGGCTTCTCCGTGACAATAAATGACAGATTTGGCCTTTACAACATTGAAAGAAGGCCAAATCGGGCCTTGGGTGGTGCTAAAAGGATCGATAATGGCCTTTATCGACCCTAGCATTATTCTCCATACCTTCATGTGGTTTCTGTGAAGCTTCATGTCATCGCAAGGCTTTTGGTGGCCTCAAGCAGTTGCCACAAGGCCTTCAAGGTCTCTAGTGGCTATTGCGAGGTCGTTGGAATGTGTTGGTGGCGGTGGCAATGATAGTTGTGTAATGGGGTTGGGATTTTAGGATAAACATGGGCCAAAGAGTTATGTTGGGGGTTTGGATTAGGTTTGGAAAAAAGGGAAAATGGTCATTGCATTGATTAATGGCTACTCAGTAAGAAGAATAGACAATATGGGGATTAGGGTCCTATTTTCGAAATCAATGGGGTTTATAAATATGGCTAAAACACTTGGGGGTTAAGGAAAGTTTCCCCGAGAACTACCTTCATCTCTTTCCTTTCAAAATATAATTAAATGAATTATAAAATCTCATTATATTACACAAGAACTTGTTTATTAATGAGGTTTCTCACATCAACAAAATTGATAATTTTCTTTTATGCATATATAATTTGGAAAAATTAATTTCTTGTTCCGCCCCTAATGTTTAGGATTTAGTATCTCTAATTCCTATCTAGTATGCATTGTACCTATAACAAGTATCACATCAATTCTAATTTTGATTAAATTTTGGTGATATAATTGATAAATTATCTTAAAATTTCCTTCATATAATTAATTTAATAGACAATAATATATAAGTTCATAAATCAATATATATATATAAACTGATTTGATATTGTTCTGTATCATGGTATGGATACATGATTGATAATCATTTGTTGCATTAACTTTTTTTTTTTTTTTTTAATTATATAGTTTATATATACACATGTTTGGTATCTTGTATTGTAATGTATTGTATCAGCCTGGATTTAATTTATATTAGAAAGCTCTAGCCTGTTACAGCAAAATGCCACATATTTTGGATGATCTGGCTACTCCACTAGGTAGATCGGCCAATGGTCTACCCAATGGAGTGGAGTGATGTCGCAGGATGCGCCTCTGGTGATGGCGTCCAACTATTGCCGCGGTTGATGTTCGACCACCACTCCATTGGCCATTTCTAATTTTTTTAATTTTTTATTATATTATTTATTTAATTAAAAATCATTTATAAAAGAAATTAGAATTTATATTAACTTTAAGGTGTTTTTGGTAATTACTCTTTCAAAAGCATCTTTTGAATTCTAAAAGTTACAAATTGCTATTTTTGAAATCATTTTATAAAACCAATTATTTGGTAATCAGCTTGTCCTATAATCATTTTTCAAATTAGTTTATCAAACATTTTTTGGGTTTTAGATTATGAAATAAGTGGTTATGGGAGAAGCTACAGAAACCCGAAACTCACCCTTAAAATGATGAAAAAACCAAAATCAAATTAGTTTCCATCAACAAATGAAGAAATTTACAAGGAGGGAACTTGATGTTAATTTATTTAAATTTATGTAACACATATATTAAAAAATGTTCAATGTTTAAATAAAAAGCATATAGGATTTTGTAAATAATTAGATATTTACTAAATTATTAAAATATATAAACATATATTTACGATACTTTTATATTGTAAATATAATTTTAACATTAATAAGTTATATTATTGTCCCTAACAATCACTCATTGGTGTTACACCAACAACAATGTCATTGCATCACATCCTCACTTGTCAATGGTATGTTTGCAATAACATAAATGAGAGGCCAATAAATTCTCTCTCTTTTTTTTCCTTCCCAAAATTGCAATAAGTGTTTTAATTTTCTCTTCTTTAATTAAACTCCATTTTAACAATTTATAACAAATCTTTCATTGTTTTCTTCTTTTTTACTTTTATAGTTAATTTTCTCTTCTTAAATGACTGCAATTAATTTTCTCTTTTTTTTTTTTTTTTTTTTTATGTAGCATATAATATATATTTTATATTTTTATGTCACGTATTTTTTGTCATATTATATTAATCCTATGCTTGAATGTAACCATATCTAACATGTATAAACAAAACTATGTTGTTTTTGCATTGTAAGGCAAGTAATATCCCAGCCAGCACCAACGTGTGCGACTGTCCTTGGCAGCCTGTTGGGCTGCTCAGGTTTGCCTCCCACTCTGAACCACCACCTTTCCCGACCTCAACCACCTCAAAAACTCCCTCTTAACCATCCTAGCCACATTTCCACCCCTCATTTTACCCAAAAAGGCCATTTTCCAGTCCTCACCACCTGTTCGACAAAATGCCTCAACCAACCAAAACTCACCCCTCCAACCACAACCCACCTCCCAAGCCGCCGACAACTGTCCCTCCCACACGAGGCAGTCAATCTTAGCCCAATTCCACTTGGGCCGATAAATTACGAGTAACCAACTCCAAGTCTTTTTTCACGCTTCCCACACCCTTCACAATGTGGAAAGAGATAATTTGGTTATTAAGCCATCGGCCACCTTGCTTGAGAAGGGTTGAGCCCAATGGCACCTTTGCATCATGGGATCTTTCTCAGGATGCAAAATATCTTACAACACCATCAAGTCTATAGCCATAAGGGTGTGGACTTCTTACGAACTT